CCCGGCCGCATTTTCGAAAAAGTAAGGTCCGATGATGCCTTTTGACCACAATGCACACCACACAGTCACTTTTTGAGGATGCATCGGCTGCTCTTGGTACTCACGGGGATTTTCGTTCGTCCAGATGCGGCAGTTTTGCTTGTTTACCGTCCCATTCAAAGTGAAATGCGCTTCGTCGCTGAACATGATTTTTGATGAAAAATTGGCATCAATTTGGCGGTGTTCAAGGAGCCAATCTGAGAACGTTCGGCGCGAAAAATGGTCGGCCTGACGCAGCTTTTGCGTCAATTGGATCTTGTAAGCGTGTACATTCAAATCCTTGTGGAGAATGCGGAGCAAACTGGTTCTCGAAGTGCCCAATTCTTGGGATCGACGCGTTGTTGATTGTTTCGGATCGTTTCTCACACTCTTCTTCACAACAGCAATATTTTCCGGTGTGCGAACGCTCCTTGGCCGGCCAGAGCCTGGCAGATTTGCCACAGAACGTGTTGCCTCGAATTTACGCACCAGAAGACCGATGGTTGTTTCGTTTGGGCGGTTGTTGCGACCGAAATGTTCACGAAGCGCGCGAAACGTGTTTTTCATGTTTTCACCATTTTTGTAGTGCTCTTGAATAACTTTAATGCGGTCTTCAATCGAATACGACTCCATAGCGAACAATGGTAAACATTCAACTAACAAAATGACATGTCGGTGACAGAAAACAAAGATGGCGTCTATGTCAAATTGACGTTTACTTTCCTGCGTCCCTATTGGACAACCCTTTACAATTAATTCAGAATGTGTGGCAGTATATGACCAAACTGATAGAGGTTCGATTTCCCGAATTACTTCTAAACAGATAGAAATTAGAAAAATGCAGTGTCCGTGAATGTCGTGCCTGTAACTATTCAATTTGCATATTGATGTAATGTGTAAGATTAATTTCTTTTACATCTGTGGTGTTTTAAATAAGCTTTACTCGTTATTAATTTTTTGTTGAAATATACTCTACCATGCTTTATAAGACTATCCGTATTGAAATTTTAACCAAAATCGTTGCACGTTAAAAAAAGGGCAAATGAAAATTTTAAAATTAACTACAGCTATCCGTATATATTCGCTACCTTTACTATTACATTTCTTATGAAAAATAGAAACTTCAAATGAAATATTGACGAATATAAATTGATATGTATAGAATTTGAGGCGTAATGGTGCTTGCAAAACAGATAAGATTGATTCAACAATTATTCACATTGAAAGTGGAAGTATAAACAAAAGGACTCGGGTGGTAGTGTTCTTATTTTAAGCAAATTTGTATTTTCATAAATTAATTATTACCTTTTATATCCCTTATATCTAATATCCACAATTTGTACATAAACGGAAAAGGATAAAAATTCATATTGCAAGTCAAGATTTTCTTTGCTGATTAAAACTTGGACCTGAACCGGATTTTCGGTATTTTTACCGATATGAGAGTACGATATTCCAAGAAAATAAAATATTTCCATATTTGCCGAAAAAGAGCTGGAACCAAAAATAAAGCTATTCTATTCATCAGTAGACCTAAAACTTGTAAAAGTATACTCAGCACTCCTAGTCGGTGTTGCATTTTCTATGTCCTTTAGTATATTATGATCCGGATCAAGATTTTATATCCCGCGGGCCGATAGTAAAATCGTGCCTAAATGAATCACCCGTTATCCTGCAAGACACTCCCTGTAACCCTGTATAGAATCAATCTACCCCCCTACTGAGCGAGGGCCGTGGCAAATGCTTGTTCCGGAAGTTGTTGTATCCAGTATACAACCTCTTCCCGTCCAAGTGATTGTGCACGCGTTAAGGAATACCTCAGTACCGATTGCCGGGTGGCGGTACAAGTCCGCCAACGGGCCACTTTAGGTCTATTTAACATCACTAACACGTAAAAAGAAGGTGGTAGACAAGGACCAGTCGACCGAGGCAGTACCACCCGCTAGCTTTTCCCAGGGTGTCTTATAAATGTCCGCATGTTTCCACACCTAAGCTATGCAGTCGGTTATCTACCAAAACAAAGAAATTAATGATGATGGATCCCTCGAGCACTAAAAACTCCGGACGTAAACTCACTCCACTCTCGGAATGTCCGGGTGGAGGGTGGGCTCGAGGGAACAACATCGAAGATAAAATTTGTTTTTCGAACATCTGCGGGATCAACAGCAACATTGATGCTGCACCGATTAACCATCTCAACTTCCCAAACTACGAGGTGCACTCCAATCTGAGAAAGAACGGGGGAGTTGTGGCTTTTGTCCGCAGCAGTCTTTCCTGCTCCAGGGATCTTTCTTTGGAATCAGACCGGAAGGACATTCTGTGGCTTCGCCTCAACTCCAAAACATCACCCAAATTTATTTGCTGCCTTTATCGCTCTCCCTCGAACCATAACTGGGATGACCTACTCGAATACCTCGCCGTCCAGATCGACTTCCTGAACATCAATCACCCCGCTTCAGAGGTAGTTCTTCTCGGTGATTTCAATGCCCATAATGAGCTTTGGTTGGGCTCAAATAAGACCGATGCAGCAGGTCGTGCAGTCGAAGCGTTCGCTCTTACTCAAGGGCTGACCCAGCTGGTGACGAGCCCTACTTTTTTCCCCCGCGTCTCGTCACACGCCAGTAGCCTGCTGGATCTCTTTCTGACCACGCATCCTGCCCCTTACAGCACTGCTGTCCTGTCCCCCCTGGGTAACTCAGATCACGGTGTTGTGGAGGTTAGGTTTCGGTCAGAAGCCGCTGTGGCAGCAGAAACTCGCACAGGCCGCAAAACTTGGCATTACGGACATGCCGACTGGGAGGGGCTCAGAGACTTCTCTAGCTTTCCTTGGAGAGATGTATGTTTCACTGACGCGAATGCGTCGACTGTCTGTTCTTCAATAACCGAAATTATCCACGTCTGAATGGAGGAATACATCGCCCACACAGTGAACGTTCCTAAATCAGGGTTAAACGGCTGGTTCAACAAATCGTGTGACACTGCTCGCCAGCAGAAGATCAAGGCCCACAGAACCTACTTACAAAACCCCACTGTAGAGAACAGACAAGCCGACGTCGATTCCAGAAACAAATATAACGAAGCGGTTCGCAATGCCAAAAACCAGCATGATATAAAAGTTAGGCACAGGGTAATGTCGCAGCGCAATGGCAGTCGGTCTTTCTGGACGCTGGCCAAGCAGATTGAAAAGAACTTCTCACACAGTAGCCTTCCACCACTTACGTCTCAGGATGGAACTATTGTATTCGACTCAAAGGCCAAGGCGGAAGTGCTAGCCAAGATCTTTGCTGCCAACTCCACCATGGACGTCCCCACCAACGCCCAAGTGCCGTCAATTCAAAGGGTTCCCCACACTATGCGGGAGGTAACATTCAGGCATAAGACCGTAAGACGAGTGCTCTTGTCGCTCGACATCAACAAAGCTTCTGGTCCGGACTTGCTTCCTGCCATTATACTGAAGAGATGTGCAGCGGAGCTTGCTCCAGTTCTTTCGCGTCTCTTCCAGATATCTTATGAATCCGGCACCTTCCCAGAAAACTGGAAATTTGCTCATGTACAGCCCATCCCAAAAAAAGGATCTAAAACCGACTCTTACAACTACAGGCCTATAGCTCTGCTTTCTGTTATAAGTAAAGTGATGGAGAGGTGCATAAATCGCGAGCTTCTGGACTACCTCGAACGTTACAGCTTGATTAGCGACAGGCAGTACGGTTTCCGGCACCAACGATCCACAGGGGACCTCCTAGCTTACGTCACGCAACTGTGGAGTAAACTCATCCAGTCTCATGGTGAGGCTCATGTCGTTGCTCTTGACATCACGAAAGCGTTCGATCAGCTGTGGCACGCTGCCCTCTTAAGCAAACTTCCATCCTACGGCCTCCCAGAAAAGCTTTGCAGATGGGTGGCTGACTTTATCTCTGGCCGCAAGATATCCGTCGTAATTGACGGATTCTCCTCTTCATCCCACAACGTCAACGCGGGTGTTCCCCAGGGATCGGTCTTGGCTCCAACACTGTTTCTCTTACATATCAACGACCTCCTTTCCTGCACGATCAACCCAATCCACAGCTTCGCTGATGACAGCACTCTACATGCAGGAATTCAGAGTGACAAGCCGATCTCTGCCGCTGAGCTGGAAAAAAGAAGACTAGCGACGACTTCTTCTCTGACAAGAGACCTGGAGGCTATCACTGCTTGGGGACGCAACAATCTTGTACAGTTCAATGCTTCCAAAACACAGTACTGTACTTTGACGAACAAAAAGCGTCCTAGCGCTCATACAGTTTCGATGGACGGTCGAGTTCTACCAAAGAGCCATTCATTTCGGCTGGTCGGAGTCCAGATCACCGAGGACCTGATCTGGCACGAACACATCTCTTCAATAGCTGCAGCTGCTGGGAAAAAGCTAGGCTATTTGTTTAGGGCTAAGAAGTACCTTTCTCCGCATGACCTTCTCACTCTATACAAGGCCCAGATAAGGCGTAGCCTCGAGTATTGCTCACACATTTGGGGTGCTGCCGCCCCGACTACATTGTCCATGCTCGATGCTGTCCAGAGGAGGGCGGTCCGACTGATCGATGACTCTTCTCTAACAGACAGTCTCGGGACTCTTTCGCACAGGCGGGCCGTCGGCGATCTAGCTCTTTTCTATCGCTACACCAACGGGCTTTGCTCCTCAGAGCTCTCTTCCATGATGACGCCGCGCGATGTGCCTGCCAGACAGACCCGCCTGACTTCGGCGTCCCATCCTAACCGTGTCAAACTTCGTACATCCAGAACTGGCCGATACGACCGCTCCTTTGTCCCGAGGGTGTCTAGATTGTGGAACAATCTACGGGAGGAAGCTTTTCCCAGTTGTACTAACCTTAGGCAGTTCAAAAATCGTATTAACAAAATTTCTTTGGGATCATCATAGCAGCCGCGGTGTTCCGGCATTTAGGCTTCTGACTGCGCGGCTGTTTCGATATAAAAAAAAAATGCCAAACCTGCTTGATTTCGGCGATATTGACGCTGGCCATCCTGACATCGTCGACGGTGTCTCCGCTTCTGAGCGGTGGCGATGCGTTACCGGGTACGGGCGCATCTGCACCCGCCGTAGGCGCAGCAGCTGGCAACGGAGGCGTAGCAGGAGGCGTCATCGGCGAGGAAGGCGGAGTTGGCAGCATCACGGGGAGTTGTTGAATTGGAGGCGGCTCGATCTGAAATCACCAAAGGTAGTCCAAAAGTGTGAATACTAGGAATCACGTTACGAGGGTTGTTTCAAAAATAAGGTATATATTGGAATTTTGTTCAACCTACCTGCTGGGGAGGTGCTTCGATCTGTCGAGGCCGAGCATTAGCCTTCGGAGATGCGGTTTCGCCTGCCGGACCCGGTAAAGTTGGGGGCAGAGGCGGAGGCGGTGGGGCGGGACCTTTCTCCGATCCCGTCGAAGATGCGGAACTGGTGGAACGCTGCGTTTGCAAAGGAGGCGGTGGGGGCGCCTTGCCTTTGTCGCGAGACGGCTTCCGGTTCAAGTCTTCTCTTTTTTCCACCTAAATGTACATTAATGGATTGGCAATTATTTATTTTTCTTTGTTGAAGATTTATTTAGACATTTTTTTGAAACAATTTTCTGTAATTCTACATTCTTGTGTATTGAAATTACATCAGTATGCATTTTGAGTATTAATAAACATTTTCAAATTATATCACTGTTTAATATCATTGTTCAATTTATTAAATTCAAATACTCCTTTTGGAATACAGATTTGCTATTTATGCTGCTATGACGATTTTGCAAATGAAAATCTATACTGCCTCTAGTTTCATAGTTATGATAATGACTGTTTAATTTTGTGAAGTTTTCTAAATGTGATGGTAAAGTATTTTTTAATTTGAATATGAAAATGAGAACTAAGTAACACACATTTAATCATCGTAGTTCTTCTAACATAGACTTAACCCTTATTTAAAATAATTCTCATAGCTTTATTTAAAAGAATTTGTAATTTTGAACATGGTTGACCAATATAAAAAATGGAGAAGAATTATAGTGTTATACACAATCTTTTTGGAAAACATACTGATATTATGGGAAACTCTATAGGAACAATTTATCTTTTTTTTATATTTTAAATACATATATACACCCAGATATTTGAATGATTCGACTACATACTTCACTTTTTTCATCATTAATCATATAATTTTTTCTAGCAGTATCCAAATGAGTATGTACTATTATACAGGGTGTTTCAGTTTATTGTTGCATAACTTTAAGATTCGATAGAACTTTTAAAATTAATGCATAAAGTCTATATAAACATGGGTCGCAAAATGCGTGGCTTCCGAAATACAGGGTGTTTAAATTTACTTTCTAAAATAGTTTTTTTTAAATATTTCGAACAATATTTGATGTAGAACAGTGAAAATTAGTATACAAGGGTTTTTTGCTACGACAAAACGAACCATGGGCATAGTTTTACTGTAGCCGCTAGAGGGCGCTCTCTAGTGTACCTGTAGTGTATTAAAATGACCGAAAATTTTTTCTTAGTGCAATTTTTTGCTTTTTGAATAAAAAAACTGATTCTTCGCACTTTTCAACATAAAAAAGCTCTCCTGTGAGTTTTCGTTTAGTTAGCCGCTTTTGAGATATTTCGATTTTTAAGATTCGATGCATTTTTAATTATTTATGGAAAAATAATATTTTTTTTACATTTTTGATTTGGGCATTACAAGTAATTAATATGATCGTTTAGATTGTGTTTTTAAACACAGCAATAATTCCTAACTCCAAATAAACACAAAAAAAACAGAATATTAATTTGTTTAATTTTCCAATATTATTTTTAACAAATTAAATTAATTATTTACAACTAAAATGCTATTGGATAGTTAGGACAAACATACAAAATCTTAAGTAGTTGCTCGAAATGTAAACCCAATTGTTCAATACACAATGCACATCTACGAATGATCGAACGTGGTATAGCATTATTCAAATAAGGCCTTATTTCATCACATGCATTCCTGATTCTGTCTATTAGCATATCTCTTGTGGTTACGGGAGTCTGGTACACTGTTTCTTTTAGAAATCCACACACAAAGAAATCTGATGGATTTAGGTCAGGGGATCGTGGATGCCAGGCGACTGGTCCTCCACGGCCAATCCATCTTTCTGGATAATTTTCGTCCAGCCAGTTTCTAACTATTCTCGAATAATGAGCTGGACAACCATCAAGCTGGAACCAGGCCAATCTTCTTAAATCTAACATAACATCATCCCACATATTTGCATGTTCAGCCTTTAAAAATTCCAAGAAGGTCGCAGCATTTAACCTTGCAGGCAAAAGGTAGGGTCCAAATAGTCGATTACGGTAGATACCAATCCACACGTTCACACTAAATTCATGCTGAAAATTTCTTTCCTGAACTGCATGCGGATTTTCATGCGACAAAATATGTTGATTATGAAAATTTACCACTCCACGTCTAGTGAAGCATGACTCATCGGTCCATAAAACGTTACTTAAAAACTCCCTATTATTATCAGTTCTATCAAGAATCCACTGACAAAATGTGATTCTTCGTTCTCCGTCCCCTGGCTGTAGTCCTTGCACAGGTTGCAAATGGTAAGGACGTCTATGGTTATTTCTAAGAACACGGTGAACATGGCTTGCTGAAATTCCCAAGGCACCAGAAACTCTCCTAACACTTGTGGTCGGATCTCTATCAAACTCACGCAGAATCATACGGGTAAATCTGCGCTGACGAATATTTATGTTTTGATCCCTTTGGAGATTTCCAAAACCATTTTCAATTATTTGGCGATGCACTCTTACAAATACTGAGCGAGTTGGATGTCGTCTGTTTGGAAATCTTCGTACGTATTCTCTGGCTGCTTCTGCTGCGTTTCCATTTACAAAATGAATATCCGCTAACTCTTGATTGGAGAATAAAAATGGCATTTTTATAAAACTTACAAAAAAAAAACAGGTAAAAGAAACTAAATTTCGTGCATTCACAAATCAGGAATGCATGTGATGAAATAAGGCCTTATTTGAATAATTCTATACCACGTTCGATCATTCGTAGATGTGAATTGTGTATTGAACAATTGGGTTTACATTTCGAGCAACTACTTTAGATTTTGTATGTTTGTCCTAACTATCCAATAGCATTTTAGTTGTAAATAATTAATTTAATTTGTTAAAAATAATATTGGAAAATTAAACAAATTAATATTCTGTTTTTTTGTGTTTATTTGGAGTTAGGAATTATTGCTGTGTTTAAAAACACAATCTAAACGATCATCTTAATTACTTGTAATGCCCAAATCGAAAATGTAAAAAAATATTATTTTTCCATAAATAATTAAAAATGCATCGAACCTTAAAAATCGAAATATCTCAAAAACGGCTAACCATAACGAAAACTCACAGGAGAGCTTTTTTATGTTGAAAAGTGCGAAGAATCAGTTTGTTTACTCAAAAAGCAAAAAATTGCACTAAGAAAAAATTTTCGGTCATTTTAATACACTACAGGTACAGTAGAGAGCGCCCTCTAGCGGCTACAGTAAAACTATGGTTCGTTTTGTCGTAGCAAAAAACCCTTGTATACTAATTTTCACTGTTCTACATCAAATATTGTTCGAAATATAAAAAAAAATCAATTTTAGAAAGTAAATTTAAACACCCTGTATTTCGGAAGCCACGCATTTTTCGACCCATGTTTATATAGACTTTATGCATTAATTTTAAAAGTTCTATCGAATCTTAAAGTTGCAACAATAAACTGAAACACCCTGTATACCAATGTATCGTCCGCAAATGTTTGAATTTTGCATTTAATGACAGATATATCATTTATCTAAATAATAGATAGTAACGGCCCTAATTTACTCACCTGTGGCAACCCAACTGATATATTTTGAATGTTTGACAAACTATTTCGAACTTTACTTTTATGACTTCTATTTACTAAATAATTTTGTGAAATGTTTAATACTGATCCTTTAAAACCATAGCGATGTAATTTCATTAACAATTTTTCCCTATCTATAGTTTCAAATGTCCTTAGATAGGCTAGGATTTCTAGAATTCCAGAAACAACATTGTAAAGATAGATTTTACAACAGAAATACGTTTTTGGGGTAAATAAAAAGGTTGTTTATAGAGACACAAAAGATTTGCTGAGTTAGCTGTCATAGTTCACAGAAAATATAAAAAAATAGCCGAAACCTACATCCTTTGTGGTAAATATCCAGAAAAAGACACGGCGTCAAGTAAGTTGACTCTAATGTTAAGCAGCTTGGTGTCATTTACTCATATTTGTTAAACTGCAAAAAGTTTACCGATAGAGTGCGTGTGGCGTCCCCCCATTTCCCCTATACCCCCCTATAGCCCCACGCTACCCCATGGGGTGTTTAGGCCTTAGACATATTTCTCCCAATACCGATTTTTCACAACAATAAATACATTTTTCAATGAACATTTTGCCTAACTCATCCACCTCTTTTTACTAAGTCTGGATATTTTCACTATAATCATGTTTATAGGGTGACAATAATTTTTTCAAAATTTTCATAATTATAATTTTGATGTTGATATCGTGGATTTTCTTCACGATTCCTGTGAACAATTAAACCTGTTCTGCTAGGTTGGTAACGGACTGACAGATGTCAAAAAATGTTTAGACACTCATCTGTCAACTGTCAACTAATGTCTTCCGGTGATGTCCCATGCACTAAGGTGAAAGGTAGTAAAAATGATTTGATATGTGAAATTAAAAAACAATAATGAGTTTACTGTATTAAATCCGTTTGTGATGTCTACCAAAATATACAGGATGTTTTTAAAGTTGAGTTATTTATTTTAAATGTTTGTAGGACTCGTCAAAAGGGGTGGATATACCAAAAATCACCTATATAAAAGTTGCATAATAAAAGAAATAGTAAAAGATTGAAAATTTAAAATAGGAATGTTATTCCACACATTTTCTATATTCTCGACCACTGCCGTGTAAAATCTTAGCGTTTTTTGTTTACTGCTCTTATCCTTTATCTAAATTTGGCAAACTTTTTGTGTTATTGTATGGTTTTTAGTACGAGTCTTTGCTTCGATCAGTTGTATCAGTCTTTTAATACTTTTATTTGCCTGATTATTTTGTGCAAAAAAATGGCCTATATTTACGTAAAACAATGAACTAGTGGACATAGTACTAATGCTATCAACTTCTTTTGGCGAGTTCTACAAGCTGTTAAAATGAATGACTCAACTTTGAAAACAGCCTGTATAAAAAATAGTCTCATGAATCCGGTTTTTATTGTTTTCTAAGAACATTTAGCACGAATCTCAATTACTACCTCCTGATGATGACAGCATAGACTATCGAAAGCTTGAGAATAAAGTACACTTTGCAATACTTTGTCGGTCTCGAAAAAGGTTCTTTCATCTAACTGGTTGTTGACGACACATTTCTGTTCATAGATGCTTTGTTAAAATAAGTATATACGAGCTTTATAATATAAAACCTAACTGCAATGAATTAAGGATAGGTAAGTAGGTTACCTGTTTTTTATCAATTTGTGGTGATGTAGTGGCAGCAGCATCTGGAGGACGTGTAAGAATAGGTTCCGGCTTGTATTCTTCTTCTCGGACGGCTTGTGGTTTGGCAAGGATATCCTTATCGGCATTGAACAGTGCTGCTGGTTCGGATTGAGGAACTGAAAATATATTCATCAAACTAGTACCTCATAAATCGCCGATGCTTGATAAGAATTTGTGCATTAATTTTGAAAGTTTCAGATATCTGAAATGATATCCATTCAATATATCTAGAAATGATGGCCAAGTTGATCTTTTTATTACGAAATCGTTCATTTAATACAGGGCGGAGCAGCGTTCTATGTTTAGGCTTATTACAAAAATGGAGATTCATGTACTAACGCTGTGAGTTTAGTTTACATGATCTGAATCAATGTCCTAGTGAAAGTGTGATCAGGTCGTGGGTCAGAAATTCCCATTCACCGGTTCGACACTGAATCAGACACCTGGAGGGCGTCCAAGGTCAATACGAAAAGATGAAACTGTAAGCGAAGTTTTGACGTCCGTTCGGCGCTATCCCGAAAGAGATCAGCTGAGCTCGCCATAAATCAAGGACATCTGGAAGGCGTATTTTGGTAAAAGACCTTAAATTGCACCCATATGAACTTCAACTATACTACAACTATTTAAAACTGTAATGACTCATACGCGTGATCAACACGTGATCAGAGCTCGATCCCGGCTTCCTTCCAGTACAGCCGTATAGCGTACGACATATGTCGTTTCTGTGGCTTTGCGGTGGTCAACAGCACAGACAGAGATGGAAATAATGGCTGATTGTTCTCCGCCGGTGAAACCAATGAAGACGCGCCTCGACCGGCAGACACATAGGCGTCGGCAACGCATTGGAACGTGTTTCGTTGAGCGATCGCATATTGTGTGTTTTTATAAGAATTGTTGTGTGATTGTTATTGTTGTGGTTTCTGTGGTTACTGTTTTGGTTATACTTAACCATGGAGAGTACAAATGGCACGAGTGGAAGTACTGAAAGCCAGGGAACAAGTAGACGGCTTCGTAAAGCACTGAAGAGAGACGCGAAAGAAATCGTGCTCAACGTGTTCAATTATCTGAACAGAACTATGTCGCAGGGAGATGCACCCGCGCGTTGTGAAAGTATGACAGGCGTTCCAGAGTGGACCATTCGCAGGGTGGTGCATGAAAAGAAGAAAACTGGAGCTACTACTGATCCAAAGTATAATTTGAAGGGACGAAAGGCCGTTAAATTGGATGACGATAGCAAAATGGCGTTAAGGCGAACCGTACATTCATTCTTCTTTAGGAATGAGGTACCAACCCTCAAGGCTGTACATGCAGCGATCAAGGAAAATGAAATTATACCCCAAATGAGCGTCGAGGTAATGAGGAAATCCCTGCACGAAATTAATTTTCGTTACGAAACGCGTAATCGGAAGTCAGCATTGATAGAGAGACCTGAAATAGTCGCCTGGCGTCGAAAATACCTACGCGAAATGATTGAATATTGGCGACAAAGCAGAAAAATCTATTATTTGGACGAGACATGGGTTAATGCAGGTCACACAGTTAAAAAAACCTGGATAGACAAAAACGTAGTGAGTAACCGACAAGCAAGCATTGAAGGTTTGTCAACAGGTCTTCGTGGACCGTCAGGGAAAGGTCAAAGATTGATCGTAACTCATATTGGTAGCGATAGTGGCTTTTTAGAAGAGTGTGACTTGATTTTCGTCTCTAAGAAAGGAGGTGATTACCATGACGAAATGAATGCCAGCTGCTTCGAGGGGTGCTTCAGCGAGTTGAGCCCAACTCTGTGATCGTCATGGATAATGCTTCCTACCATAGTCGTCGAGCCGAACGTGTACCGACTATGGGATCTCGAAAAAGTGACATGCAGCAATGGTTGCGCGAAAAATTAGACAGCACAAACCTGCGAACATTAGTTACGTGACTGTTGAGATGGCCCGTCAATGTGGTGTCACTGTGCTGCGGTTACCGCCCTACCACTGTGAACTGAACCCAATAGAGCTCATCTGGGCTCAAGTGAAGGGTTATATTGCGCGCCATAACACAACCTTCAAATTACCAGACGTTAAGGTTTTACTTGAGACTTCCATACAGTTAGTAACGCCCGAAGCTTGGCAGAATGCTATCCGTCATGTTGTGAAGGAAGAAACAAAAATGTGGCAGCTTGACCACCACATCGACACCATCATAGAGCCAGTTATAGTCAATTTGCCGGTATTGGGCCGCAGAAAATCCCAAATTAAAACACTAACGAGCGCTGTTACAGTTTGGGCGGCCATGTCGACTGAAGGAATCATCGGACCTTATTTCATCGAAAACGAGCAGTTCTAAGTAACTTTTTCTTTCCACAACTGCATAATTTTGAAGCCTAACATGAACAAGATGAAAGAAAATTAAAAAGTACACGTTTACTGCAGATCTCCAAGCTGTAATATTAGCCGATTTTTTGACTTTTTTGAGAGTGTTTGTGAAAAACAGTATTATCGAAATTGCTTGGGAGATTTCAATATAAATTTTGATTTTTATGTGAAAAAATGTAAACAGGTACTGAACTTTCATGGTCTATGGCAAAAAGTTAATGACTACACAAGGATTACAAACTTTTCACAAACTAAGATCGATTTAATAATAACCAATGAACATAATTTGACTATTAACGTTTTACATACTCCCAAAAATAAGCGACCATTCGTGGATATGTTTCAAGGTGGAAAATATGTTTTATAAGAGAAAATCAAGAGAAATCACAATTATTGACTTTGAAACGTTACGAGAGTCACTCTTACAAGCCAATATCACTGAAATTTTTAATAATGCTGTCACTTCTCAAACATTACGGATTGTATGGAGAGCTGCATGAGAGACGCACAAATTAGGAAAGTGGTACATCAAAGGAAAAAGCCAACACTCCGATTTTCACAAATATCTCTAGATTCTAAATTGACGCGTGATAATGACTATAAAATGTTTATGATCATTCAAACAGGAAGGTTGGATACAATATAAGAAATCAAGAAACAGGTGTTCAACAAATCTTAGGAACGAAAAGAAAAAATATTATGAAAACAAAATCGACAGCAATAAAAATAACAGTAGAATGATGTGGAAGACACTAAAAAATATTGTATCTCCCAGTAGGAAGAATGAATTATCGAGAATGTGCTTCGAAGATGGTATAGTAACACAAAAAATATTGATTGAAGAACGAATGAAAGCTTATTTTATAGAAAGTATAAATGAGCCAGTGGAATCAATCGAAGATGGGGATCCAAATCTATGCCACATACAAGTTACTTATAATTCTTCTATGAGACAATTCCAAACAATAAATATCAGCTATCTTTCAAAAGCTATTACAAGATTGAAATCGATAGAAACCCTAGTGAACATCTTTCAAAAATGGTTATGAAGGAATGTTTCAACATTATTGGAGAGAAATTATTATTGTTAGTGAATCACTGTTTAGTGTATGGCGAGTTTCCTTCAAAATTAAAATGTTCTACAATTACTCCTGTTCCAAAAGTGCAAAATTCTGAGTTATATACAAACAAGCGGCCAATTAATGTACTGCCAATGTCGAGAAGCTCTTAGAAGGAATCATATATGAACAAGTCATTGAATATATTGAAGAAAATAAGATATTGTACAAAATTTCAAGCAGGATTCAGAAAAAAGTATTCTACCGAAACAGCAATTCAAATGATAGTAGAAGAATGGAGGCGAAATATAGATGAACAAAAGTGTTCAGTAACATTGTTCTTAGATTTCAGGAGAGCATTGGAGACTATTTATTTTATATATTAACGATATTCGTGATATTTTACAACACTGAAAAATTCAACTATTTGCTGATGATACATTAATGTATATATATACAGTGAAAGCTCTCCTTGCGGACAGCTCCTATAAGCGGACATCTCTTTTAACCGGACAAAGTTCCTGGAACCGAATTTCAGCCATCAATTTTCAATGTTAAATGCATTCCGATAAACGGACGCTCTTATAAACGGACGCGGACACTAGATTTTCCTGTATGTGATCAAAAAATCTCCCATAAGCGGACGCGAAACTCTAATACCCGGACGATTTTTTAGTTCCGCTTATTGCAATGCACATATCTACATACATAAAATTCGGTAATTCCCCGATTTATATTAGGTGATTCCCCACTTACGCATTTCGTTGGGTAGCCTGTATGTAATCTTGTGGCTTGTCTTCAGTTCAGGCAAATTCGTAGTTGATTGAGTTACGTATTTTATTATTGTAACTGTAAAATGGCACCAAAAAAAAGGATGCTCTCGTTAAAGGAAAAGATGGAAGTTGTTAACGTATTAGACAGAGAAAGTGTTTCAGTTAGTCATTTGGCAAAGAGGTTTAATATTGGGAAAACGCAAGCAGCTGAAATTGCCAAAAATAAGGAAGATATCAGGAGTAAATGGCAATCAGGAACTAATATAAATCAAAAGAAGGATTTTTTAAAAAAGAAAGGTTTTGCTATAGACAAAGCATGTTTTGAGTGGTTTGTGAAAGCTAGAAGTCGGAACATTCCAATCTCAGGGCCGTTAGTGAAAATGAAAGCTAAAGAAATCGCCACTACTTTGGGCTATACTAATTTCAGTGCGTCCGACGGGTGGCTGCAAAAGTGGCGCAAGAGACATAGTGTGAGTTTCAAATGCATATCTGGCGAAGCTGCTGCAGTAGATCAAGTTGATGTGTCACAATTTTTGGAGAAACTTCCGTCCATGTTGCTTGGCTACAAACCAGAAGATGTGTACAACGCAGATGAGAGTGGACTTTTTTTTCGCGCATTGCCCGACAAAACTCTGTCCTTTAAAGGAGAAACATGTGTGGGTGGAAAGTTGTCTAAAGATAGACTAACCATTTTATTCTGTGCAAATATGGCCGGTGAAAAATGCGATTTGATTGTGATCGGGAAAGCGGCTCGTCCCCGTGCTTTAAAAAACGTTGCTATTAAGGATCTACCAGCGACTTGGAAATCCAACAAAAAGGCATGGATGACCCGAGAAATCATGTCTGAGTGGTTAGTCGAATTCGTTACCGGAAAATGAGAATCCAAAAAAGGCAAGTTCTTTTATTTTTAGACAATGCATGCTCTCAT